TTATGGTAAGACATTATAGCTCATAGTCCCTCAAAAATGATGTTTAGAATGGTGTTGTGATTAATGTAAGTCGGCTCAATTTATGATCCCTTCAGCACGAGGCCTAATAGAGAGAGTCCCTCAAATTAATCATTTTTTTATATAAAAAAAGAGGATTTTGATTTAAATAATGTCAATACTGAAGCACGTATATAATTTGATCTCTATTTCAATTTACTTACACTAACCCCTATTTCAATTTTGCACCATTGTTTTTATTTTTTTTTGTTGTTTATCTAATTTATTTATCTTGGTTTATTTATTTAGTTTAGTTCTTATATTTGTTAATTTATTTAGTTTTATTGATTTATTTAGTTAATTAGTAAAAAACAACAAGATATACAAAAATATTAAAATATTAATTTTATTTTGTTTAGTGTCATTTTAGTAATTTAGTTATCAGGTTAGATGTTTTACCTTATAAAAATATAAAATTAAAAAAAAAACCAAAACATGTTTATTTTGTTTCATTAGTTTTTTTTTTAATTAGAAAAAAAAAAAAAACAAGTCTTTTTTTCATGCCTAGATTAATTAATTTGTACATAAGTATCACTCTAGAAATCACCAAAAAAAAAAAATCTTTTTTACTACTTCACATTCTTGCGTATTTTATTATTTAGCATTATCATTTATGCAAATGGTCTGTAATAGATAATTAGGCCTTTATTTCTTTTCCATCTCCATTTGTAAACTTGTACCCCCATTCCCGAAAACTCTGTAATAGCGTAGAATTTCAATTTCTGCAATTTACTGTTTTCTATATACTGTATAGTAAATAGGCGTGCATGACAAGATTCAAAATCAATCGCTAGATAACCTAATCAAAGAGCAAGTTAACTTGAATCAAACACACTTTTTCACACGCGCACCTCTAGGGTAACCTCGCTCGTTGCCTCAGAAACACCGTCATGTCCCTCAAATATGGACGCTTTAGCAAAGACCCTCGATAAAAAAGATCGTAGTCCCTTGATGACCCTCGACGTTGCCTTCGATAAAACGATCTAGTCCCTTACAAAAATTGCTAAAGCGTCTCATAAGTTGCTTTCGATGACTGTAAAATTGACCCGCGCCTGTCCCTTTACATCCAACGATGGGTCTTCTTACCAAATCAATGGTAAGATAGCAACATCTAAAGGAGGAAGAAAAGAACATTTGAGACCTTTCGAGTAGGTAGATTCGCTCCTAGTTACTCGCTTACTCACAACAAAAACATTTTTACACCGACACTTTCATCTCAAAACATTTTCAAAAAGACAAAACATTTTGTATACATTCTTATAGAGACGAGAACCATTGCAAAACGTCTTTTCAAAACCACTTTCAAAAACACATTCCACAAACACATATTTGAACTATCTTTCGAAACAAAACTTTGTACGCGTTCTTATAGAAACGAGAACCATTACAAAGAGATTTTTCAAAACACTTTCAAAGCCCACACCACAAGCACACTGTCAAAACAAAAGCAAGTGATCTAAGCGAGTAACTAAGAGCCCATGGAAAACCATGGATGAAAAGGGTGCTAATACCTTCCCTTTTCATAATCTACCCCCCCGAACCCGAGAAATAATCTCGAAAGGTCTTTCCTGTGCTTTTTTACCTTTCCTTTTGGATAAAAGAAAAGTCGGTGGCGACTCTTGCTATCCGCACAAATGCGATCAAAGCGCAAAACATCAAGTCAGTTCTCCCACCGTATCACAACTACAAATTGTGCAAATCATATCTCCATCAATTCTTCAGTGATCTTGCACTAAAAGTAAACCTTCATAAAAGTAAAATAAATCTTGAGCTATGATGTTGATCCAACATGTCAGGACATCTTGTCCAATATCTTGCTGAAATACTTGTTTTAACAAAATACAACCAACACAACAATACCTAACAGGTTATGTTTGAAGAGACCAAAGAGCATTGGTTCCTTTGTATTAGACGAACAACCTTGTTCTGATAAAAAATTTCAACCGTGATCTGTTGAGAGAGACAGAAAGAGAAGTTGTCAACTTCCTAAGGACGTTCTATTTATGAGTGCGATAGAGGGGCTGGAGTATGAGCGGATAATGTGAATGGAAAAAAAATTAGAGATTATTTAAGTAAGTGTTTTCCCAATTTAATGGTCTAATTGACATGGTTATTTTTATTTAACCTTACTTTTACCTTTTTATAGAGAGGATGGTCCCCTTGACCATTGTTGAGAAGAAGGTTGTGCATGAGAAGAGGATGGCTGATCGGGGTGATATGTGGTCTGCCAATTTGAAGAGCAACCCCTTAGGTTTGATAACACATAATGAAAAGAAGAGGAGGTCGGTAGATGAGGTTTGTATAATATCAGCCACACCTATTTCCATTGTGAAGTCAAGAGCGGTTGATGAGAACCATTCTTCTATGGGAGCTAAAAAACCAAAGGTTAATAAATACAAGGAACCACTTCATCAACTCTTTCAGGGAGCAAGGTCACACTTTCTTTTTGGAACAAGGACTTTGATGCCATGGGAATTGTACACGAGCATCTTAATTTTCAACTTAACTTCCCCAGTGAGCTCAAGATGGAGAATATGCTAGGGGCAATGTAATACCCCAACCATATAGTATATATAATATCATAATTGGGATGTTAATTAAGGTGGTACTGATACATTAAAATATCATATAACTGAAATAAACACATGAAATTGCATAAGCTACATCAAATATTTAGGTCATTTTCCATTTTTACAACACCATTAATCAATTATAGATTAGTTGTAATCGATTATAACTTGTCCCAAAATTCAAAACTTTCACTTTGCAGCCCATGTAATCGATTACAAACTAGATGTAATCAATTACAACAATTTCCAGAACCGAAAAAACTCAACTTCACATACCTGTAATTACTTATAGACTAACTGTAACCAATTACAACTTCATCTAGAAGCCCATAAAGCCATTTTTTAATCATTGTAATTGATTGCTTGTAAAATAGTTTAATAGGTGCCCATGTATTTCGTATATTTTTGACACTTATCAACTCTTTCCATATTATCTTTTTATTTGCCAAAATGAAGTCACGAGATGAAATATCAAGACAAATGTCATAGTGACATCTTATATTAGTATAATCCAATTTAGAACCTTGTTGTAATGTGTGTAATGATATTATGATTGTAATGCACATAATATTCTTATTTTGCTCTTATGACTATAATGCATATAATATCTTATTTTGGTACCATTGAATGTTATACACATAATATGCTCATTTCCAACTAACCTATGCAATGCACAATTTGTTCATATAATGCAAACTTTACTGCATCATTTTTGTTAAGCAGATAATGCAGACTTTACTATAATATTTTACTACATATATGCAAAATTTAGTGTAGAAGTGCATCATTTTGTATATCAAACTTTAGGGTAGATAGAAAAATAAATTTTAGTGCAAATATGAAAATAAACAACAATTTCCAATTCATTTCATTGATAATCAAAAGGTTATAAGACTTTGTTTTGCTACCCCATGTTACTTGTACATTGCATATACTTTAGTGTATTTAATTAATTTTATTATATATATTTGTACATTTAAAAAAAAAATCTAATATGCAACAAAAACGTAAGCGCGTGTATTAATTTTCTTCGGATTATTTGAAGCCTTCAACTTGAGTTTCTCAATATTTTTGTTTCTAATTGCCTCTCCAAACTCATGCTCAAATTCTTTGCCAAACTCTAAACCATATTTCTTCATATACACTTTTAGTTTTTCAGATTCATAACAACCTGCATCAGACCCTGATTTCACTTGTTTTCAAAAAACAATTTATCATACCAGTGAAAGAATTGACAATCATAATCGTTATGGTAAATATGCATTCAAGCACATTGAGAAAAATATGAATGATATTAGAACTTAGATAAAAATATGAATAACAAAGAAATATGAATGAAGGAGATGAATAAATTGAACAAATCCCCCATAATTTACACTTCCCATATCTTCTTCTTGGGTTTGCGCTTGATCTGAAAACATGAATCTTCTTGAGTAACTCGTGTCCATAAAATGAACCTTTTCTTCCACTGGAAATGGAAACACCTGAACTGAAGCTTCAAACTATTATGAGATGATTTGAGGTAGATAATAATAATTGAAGATGGAAAAGACGAGAGATGAATCTTAGCTCGTGTCTCAGCAACTCATGTTTTCTAAGGTAGGAGAGGAAAATGAGTTTTGAACAATTAGGTCACGTGAGATAGGGTTTAAATGATATGGACACCTTTTTAATTATACTCCATCTGTCCCAAAATAAATGTTACATTTTAACAAAATATTTGTCCCAAAATAACTATCATTTTTTAGTTTCCAATGCAATTTTCATTTTATTCTTTCAATTGTACCTTCAATTAATATTACATACATCACTTTCAATTTACTAATCTCTAACTTATTTAGGATAATTAAAATACATCAATAATTAATAAAATTGATATTCTCTCTTTCATTTATTACACTTTTTTAATATGTAAAATACTGAAATGTGATATTTAATTTGGGGCAGAGGAAATAATTTTAGTAACTGATTTATTTTAATATTTTAGTAATTTGAATATGTATTTAAATATCATATAGATATGTATTTAAATGAATATAAAAAATCCATTGTGTACATGTCACGTCACCCATTCAATTTATCTAAATTAAAGAGTTAAAATAAGGAAACTTTTTACAGATTTATTTTTTAAATTTTGAATTTGCCTACTATACCAAAGAAAGAAAATGAATATTAACCCTTTTATACTATGCAAAATAGTAAATTATTGCAATTTTTTATATAAAAATCACATTAAAAATAAAAGATACTCATATTATTTAAAAATATTTTAAATTTCTACTTTAAATAATTTATCAATAATAATTTACTAAAAACATATTTAAGTATAAACTATTTAAATATTTTTATAAACAAAATAAGTAGGAAAAGAATATGCTGAATGAAGCATATAACGACACCGTTTTAGACAGTGTTCCAAACCCTTTTTACTTCCTTTACACGCAGAAAAAAATTCTTATAATCTCATCAATAGCGAATACTCAAAGGATCATTGCAGTTTTCATTCTCCTAATACCTGGTAAGCACTTTCTTCTTCCACTTACTGCTTCTATGAATTTGTTTTTGTTAATTTAACGGCAAACCTTATTTCCCTTTTATCAAATTAGGGTTTTTTCCTATTCTTCACTCTCCTTACAAATTTATGCGCTTTTGCGTTTGAATTAGTTACAGATTCAGATTCACCTATGGCGACCGAAACAAAGGCTGTTACCGAGGATGTTAAGATCGATCTCTTCGAAGACGATGATGAGTTCGAAGAGTTCGAAATCAATGAAGGTATGGCTCACTAATCTCATTCTTTTGCTGATGCGATTATCTTCGGTTTTGTTTCAGGTTTACATGTGTTTTTGTTGTTTTATTTGTTTCTGCTGATTATTCATTGTTAAATGTTTTATCGGTAGTCAAATGTTGCTTATGACCTATCACTAGATTTGATATTAATAGTTTTTCAATGATGCTATCATCAAATGCTTTACAACTGATATTGGTTAGTTTCTTTCATGGAGCAAGTTAGGGATTTCATTGAGTATTGTTGCAAGTTTGAGTGAGGCTTTTTGTGTGTTTGCTATCCAATTAATTACTAGGAGTAACAAATTTCTTCTAAAACTCTGATATGCAATTTTTTTTCTATGCAATGTTCGTCGTTAATTTGTTAGGGAGAGAGTTAGCAGTTGGGACTGAACTTTAGACTTCGGTGTACCAATCCAAACCTCTAGACTACTCCTTTTGTTATATGATATTGCTTCTCACCACTTTCTGTATTGTCAATAGCGCGTTATAGGGGAATAGTGTAGCAGTGGTAGGGTTTGGCGCTTTTGACCTGCAAACGGCCTCTAATTGCAGTTCCAAACTGCTATCGCAGCCTCTAATAGGGTTTCGGGGCAAAATTCCTTAAAGCCTTTTTTTAAAAGATGTCCTTTTTAGGGTTACAAATGTCAATTTGGACCTTTCCGAGAGTAATATTAAACTATTCCTTTTGTTATGTTCTTTCTCATAAACAATCAATATGTTCTTCCTATTTTTGAGTATTTATGATTACTTTGTACACTGGTTTTTTAGGCTTTGCAAGGCTATCCTTATATCCGCTATAGCATTTTTGGGGTTAGTGTTTTGCGACGCTATCTGGGATTAAGATTAACAACATAGCTCTATTCAAATACATAAGATGCTATTTTAAATATAAATATCTACTATTAAATCATATATACATACAAATGTCTGAATTGTCAGAAGTTTTGTATGTAGAATTGTCAAGCGGTGTTATAAAATATCTGCCATTAGCGGCCCTATGGCGGATATACATGGTGCTTTTTTGGGGGTTTTAAATTCACACTCACATTCTAATGTTTCTTTTTGCAATTTATTGTTTTACAACTTTCAGAGTGGGATGACAAGGAGGAAGGTAAAGAAATAGCTCAACAGTGGGAAGATGATTGGGATGATGACGATGTTAGTGATGATTTCTCTCTTCAGTTGAGAAGGGAGCTGGAGAGCACTACTGAGAAGAATTAAACCACCTGCTGGCTATTATTGTTTGATATAACATGTTTAATGAGTTACAACTTAGGTACTTGAGGTGTTTTCTTACCTACAAAAAGAACTTAAACTATGCTGTGTTAGGAAGGAAACGGATTCACATGTTATTTCTTTGAAACACCTGCTTAGAAGTTATTGCGTACATGTTTTTGTTTTTCAGTTTTGTTATGTGTTTTTATAAAATTTGTTGGTGTCTGGCTTTACGAACTATGCTTTTCTCACTATTGTCGTTTTACTGGGGCTTAAATTTTTAATATTCGAGTTGTGGAGTTGAGATCTTTTTACGAGTTTCATATTTGGCGGTTTGAGCTTTGTTGGGTCGAACAGTTTGCCTTTAGCCAAAAGCTGCCTCTACCTTTTATATAAACTGGAGAAAATTTGTATGCAAGTTTAAATTGTCAAATAGTACGTGAGCAGGTTCTACCTACTAATGCTACGAAACACACTTTTAAACAAATTTCTTGACACTAAATTCAAGTGGTTGAAATTTTATAGGTTTCATCAAATTATGTGGATTCTATATAAATATGGTGGAATTCATATGAGTTTTAACTTTGTTTTAACCATTAAGTTACAAGCGCACTTTTTGTATTGATAAATGTCACTCGCCTACTCTCAACTCCATGTAGATATTCTCTTGCTTTATTGATATAAGCTTGAATTTGTTGGTGAGAGAAATACTGTCCTAATATTTGATTGCTTAACTAATACATTTGTTAAGGTCCTCAATCTTAATTGTGTTGGATGTGGCTTTTTTTTTTTCCTTCTAAATATAACTCCAGTTGCTTGCTATTTCTGGATTGTTTTAATGAAATTGCCGATGAGTTTCTCATTGTGCGTTGGGAACCTGTTTGAATTTAAAACTATAGAAAGATTTTCTTTTTTCAGCTAATGGTTTTAACTTCAGGACTGCTGCATGCTTAATTATATGCTAGTTACTATTCAAAATTCTCTACTGCATGCGTACTAATTAGAACCACAATATAATGATCAAGATAAATTACATGGCCACAAACAGACAACAATAAATTTGGCCATTCACCAGGTCGAAAAGACAGATACAAGTACTACTTTTGTAGTGGTTCCTATTATTTCTACTATAAATCTGTCAACAACACCACCCATCAATTTGAATGGATAAGCTTTTCACAACCAACCACAGGGAGAATGATGTTTGACCCTTTCTACATTTGGCATGAAACCAAATTGATTCCACCACTGCAATTAGTAGAGAACAGTAACTCAATAAAACAGAATCACAAAAATATTTACCAATCTTACCAAAGGTAATAATACAAAACCTTAGAAAACATTACACCTGAGGATTTCGATTTTCAACAAAACAGAATCTCTATGGTATTTCAATTTCTACAATATCAGAATCCGAAACAACACTTTCTTCTCTCACAACTCTTGAATGAACCCATGTTCTACAAATCGGACAAAACGGTTTCTTGAGAATCCACAAATCTATACACTGAACATGAAAACTGTGTCTGCAATTAGGCAACAACCTACAAGCATCACCAACTTTAAAACTCTCCAAGCAAACAGCACAGTCGACAAGATTATTGTTTCCTTTCTCTTGTTCCACATAATCAAAGCAAGGAAGGTTCTTCAAGTCACCAATATTGTCACCAAACATTCCTTTTGTTGTTCTGCTAGTACTAGTACTACTACTACTCTGGACTTGAGTGTCTGCACTATTATTATCCCTTGTAAAAGCTCTACCAACTATGCAGAAATGGATAGAAACCAGAATACCAATCCCAACGAATAAGATTATCAAAGAAATGACAATTTCCATTACCATAGTTTTTGGTGTAATTTAGTTTCAGGTGATGAAAAAACTAAGACAAGGTTCAAACATACTTATGATACAGTTTTGTTTGCTCCTCAATGACAACACGACAATATAGAGGTTCAATCACATATTTGTAGTAGCTACGGCAATCTACCTGGCTGGCTGTTCTTATTATGACTTATTGGTTTTTAATTATTATTTTTAATCAGAAAAATACAAAGAAAGCTGAAATTTTGCTTTTATGATTGAGTTGTTGTTATATAAACATTTAATTTTATCATGATTTAAAAAAAGTGTTTTCATACACTCAAATTAAAGTAGATACAGACATCTGGTTGGTCAGAGATTCAAACACCTTAAAAAATGGATATGAAGAAAACTCGGTTGAGAGTTGCGAGTCCACCTTGTGTATTCAAACGACGGTGAAAGATATGATACTTCGTCGACATATCATGGTTATAAGAAAGTTAAACTATAGTTTAATTAGGACATTACATTTGTTGATAGAGGAGCCAGGGTGACATGGTGGGGTGTAGCATATAACAATGTTTGGTACACAGCCTCACAGGGCTAGTTCAAGTCCTGTCTCTATCTCTGTTGTTAAATTCCAATTCCTTAATGAAGGCCTTAATTATATTAAGCATATGATACTAACTCATGTATAATTCATACTCTTTGTTTTTAAGGAACTTCAAAAGAAGAAATGTTGATTAGTGCAGAATAATTTTATTGGTGAGATAGGCATCAACATCAAGTAGTTAAGAGGAATAATACAGTTCAACCTCCAAATTAATGGTCCTTGCTTAGATTATTTAGTGGTTGGTTGATTAAAGTATCAAAACTCAAATCACAGACTACTTTATACTATTAATGATAATGACTTGATCATCTTAATCAAGCATTTTTTTCCCATCCCAGAACTATTTGCAATCAAATGTATGTGTATTTGGATTTGTCTGGTTTTTATTTTGGATTTGGATTATAGGGTCTTCCTTGTATAAAAAAAAAGTTATCTTGTCTGTTTTCTTATCAAAGATTGGGTTGTTGTGTGCAGCCGTGACTGCAGCAGTTAGCCACATGTAGGCCATCCGATTAATATCGAATGTCCTAGATGTGATTGACTGCATGCGGTTACACTACATGCAATTCAAATCTCGTATATTGAAATAATTAATGGTTTATTGGACTGAGGATCAAGACCCTTAATGATAATGACTTGATCAACTTCAATTCCGCTACAACTTAACACCGCAGCTCGTGTGCAGATCTTCAACTGCAGAGAATACAAATTTATATCGTGAATGCAGTTGCATTATACTAATTTTTTATGTATATATTTCTTTTTTACGTAATATACTAATTTTGTATGTTTATATTGTAGGTGTTTAGTTATTGGCATGCATTTTTGGTAAAACCAAGTGTGTGAATGTCATGACTAATGTCATAACATTCTGATTTATTAGGTACTGGTTTATTAGGTACCTTTGCAGAAAAATAGTGGCATACAGGTACTGCTGTTTATGAGTGTGTATCTGAGCATTTTGCAAAAAGATCACATTTATTGTCTTCTCAGTAAACAGGAATTCTGATGTCATAACAAATGTTAAGACATCCTGTACTGATCTAACAGTAGTGCAGTTTGGTTAATTCTGAGATTTTTCAGGAAGTTGGCTCATGCCTTCCAGAACAGAATCTTCCGTTGTCTTTGGGTTAACCTAGCTCAACCCTAAACTGGTTGATAAAGTCTTGTGACCAAGTCTTATGGTTAAACCTAATTAACCCTAGCTTTTTGTGGAAACCCTAACTGAAGAAACAACTGCTATATATTCAACAGGTCTGCTGTTTGGAAAACAACTCTTTGGACTGAAGATCAATCAGAAACTGTATAGTTTTAACTGCTGTAATCCAAGCAATTATCATTGTGATAAGTGACTTGGAATAGGTTTTGTTTGTAAGGATTTTTGTACCACTCAAAGCTTTGAAGCAAGAGTGTTTTGTGTCTCTTGACTAAAGCTTTGAAGCAAAGTCAAGTTAGGTTTATGTATCACTCAAAGCTGTGAAGCAAGAGTGTTTGTGTTACTTGATTAAAAAGCTGTGAAGCATAATCAAGTGTATGTTTTGAAGAGTGTCTTCATTAATTCATTAGTCAATTGTTTTAAGTATCACTGCTGTGATTGAGGGGGAGTGAGTAGGAACTCAGGTTTAAGTAGAACTTAGATTGAAGTTGCATTGGGTAGGTCTTAAGTGAAGGAGATAAACTGGTTGGTTTATTCCTGAATTAATATCTCTTATAGTGGATTTCCTCCCTGGCTTGGTAGCCCCCAGAGTAGGTGTTGTTTCACACTGAACTGGGTAAACAATTGATTGTGTTCTTTACTGTTTTTGTATTTACTGTCTTATAGAAAGTCAGATACGGTGTCACAATATTGACTGTGACATTGAGTATCTACATCCAGAATTTCAATTGGCATCAGAGCAGACATCCTGCCTGTATTATTGGGTGAGATCTAGGGATATCACTTTCTGGCACTATGGACAAAGAAGGAGTTCTTGGAAATAGACCACCCATTCTGGATGGAACAAATTATGACTACTGGAAACCTCGTATGATTGCCTTCTTAAAATCTCTGGACAAAAAGGCTTGGAGAGCTGCTGACAAAGGATGGAACCATCCCACCATAACTGAGAAAGATGGGACAATCAGTCTGAAGCCTGAGGAAGAATGGAGTAAAGAAGAAGATGAGTTATCCCTGGGTAATTCCAAAGCTTTAAATGCCTTGTTCAATGGAATTGATAGAAACATATTCAGACTAGTACATCAATATGAACTGGCCAATGAAGTTTGGGACACTCTCAAAACTACCCATGAGGGCACTTCCAAAGTAAAAATGTCAAGGCTTCAGATGCTGACTACCAAGTTTGAGAATCTAAAAATGATGGAAGATGAAACCATTCATGAGTTTCACATGAACATCTTGGAGATTGCCAACACCTCAGGAGCATTGGGAGAAAAGATGTCAGAAGAAAAATTGGTGAGAAAGATTCTCAAATCCTTGCCTAAAAGATTTGCAATGAAGGTAACTGCTATAGAGGAAGCCCAGGATATCAGCAAGTTGAAAATGGATGAACTCATTGGGTCTCTTCAGACTTTTGAGATGGGGATCACTGAAAATGTTGACAAAAAGAACAAGAGCATATCACTTGTATCCAACACTGAAGATGAAAACAAGGAGGATGAAGAAGAAAATATTTCAGAAGCTATAGCCATGCTTGGAAGACAATTCAACAAACTCATCAAAAGAATAAATCCAAAGTCAAGGTCTAATTTTCATAACATCCCATCTGACATTGACAGTTCCAGCAGAAGACCAAGGTCAGAAGAGAAGGGAAATCAAGGCAGAGGAATTCAATGCCATGGTTGTGAAGGATATGGGCATATTCGAGCTGAATGCCCTACCTTTCTTAAGAAACAAAAGAAAGGAATGACTGTTACCTGGTCTGACTGTGATTCAGAAAGTAATTCTGAAGAAGAATCTGCCAAACGTGTTACTGCTCTAACTGGTGTTTGCACCTCTGAAAGTGACACCAGTGATGAGGAAGTGACATTTGAAGAACTGGCTGATACTTACAAGAAATTGTGTATCAGAAGTGCTGAAGTCTGTGTGCAAAATGAGAGACAAACAAAGCTCATCATAAAGTTGGAAGCTGAAAAAAGGGCAGACCTTGAAACTATAAGTCATCTAGAAGGGGAAGTTCAATTGCTGAACTCACAACTGAACCAGATGACCAAATCTGTCAAGATGCTGACAAATGGAACTGACAAATTGGAAGAAATCCTTCAGGTTGGACAAAATGTGGGAAACAAGTCTGGACTAGGATTTGTGGAAGCAAAGAAATCTGGTGCAGACAAGAAGATCAGGTCTGATAAACAAATGTCAAAGCAGATGTCTCAACACAACTCTCAACATCAGGAACAGAGATATATGAAGAAAAGGTACCAAAGATGGAGATGTCATCATTGTGGGAGGTATGGTCACATTAAGCCTTTCTGCTTCAGATTGTATGGATACCCTAATCAGAACCCAGGTGTTAAACCTAAAAGGGTACCACATAATCCTCAATGGAAGAAAAAGGCTACTGCCCTGATAGCCCACACTTCCCTGAGAGTCTCTGCAAAGGAAGACTGGTACTTTGACAGTGGGTGTTCTAAGCACATGACTGGAATCAAGAACCTTCTCAATAATGTTAAACCTCACACCACTAGTTATGTGACCTTTGGAGATGGTGCTAGAGGTGAAATCAAAGGAGTTGGTAATTTAGACTGCCCTGGAGTTCCAAATCTGAATGAAGTACTATTGGTAAAAGGCCTGACTGCTAATCTCATTAGTATCAGCCAATTGTGTGATCATGGATTCAAGGTCAATTTCTCAAAATCTGAATGTCTTATAATAAATGAAAAATAAGAAGTTATAATGAAAGGAGTCAGATCTAAAGACAACTGTTACTTGTGGGAGCCTGAGAACACTAATACCTCTACTGTGTGTTCTATTGCCAAAGAAGAAAAAGAGGTGAAACTGTGGCACCAAAAACTTGGCCACCTTCATCTAAGAGGAATGAAAAGGATTATCTCCATGGAGGCAGTCAGAGGGATTCCAAGACTGCAAATTGATGAAGGGAGAGTTTGTGGTGAATGTCAGGTTGGTAAGCAAACTAGGATGTCACATCCAAAGTCAAGACATCTGATCACCTCTAAAGTTCTAGAACTTCTTCATATGGATCTGATGGGACCAATGCAGGTGGAAAGTCTTGGTGGAAAAAGATATGCCTATGTTGTTGTGGATGATTTTTCCAGATTCACCTGGATTAACTTCATTAGGGAAAAATCTGATGTATTTGAAGTTTTTAAAGAACTGTGCAAAAGAATTCAAAGAGAAAAAGAAGGGTGTATTGTCAGAATCAGAAGTGATCATGGCAAGGAGTTTGAAAACAGCAAGTTTGATGAGTTCTGTTCCTCAGAAGGAATTAGTCATGAATTTTCTTCTCCTATAACTCCTCAGCAAAATGGAGTTGTGGAAAGGAAAAACAGGACCATACAGGAATCTGCCAGAGCAATGATACATGCCAAAAGACTTCCTATGTATTTTTGGGCTGAAGCTATGAATACAGCCTGCTATGTCCATAACAGGGTCACCTTGAGAAAGGGAACCTCATCCACCATATATGAACTCTAGAAAGGAAGAAAACCAACTGTGAAGTACTTCCATGTATTTGGTAGCAAATGCTATATTCTGGAAGATCGTGAACAAAGGAGAAAACTGGACCCTAAAAGTGATGAAGACATATTTCTAGGATACTCCTCAAACAGCAGAGCTTATAGGGTATTCAACTCCAGGACCAAAGCCATGATGGAATCAATAAATGTCATAATTGATGATTATCATGAGGAAACATATGTCCCTTGTAATGTTGAGACATTCTTTGAGACTCCAACTCAACAAAATGATCTACCCAACACCACCACAGCAGAATCTGAATCAAAGGAAGCTAGCAAAATCCCTTCCATCAGAATTCAGAAGGATCATCCAAAAGAGCTCATCATAGGAGATCCCAACAGTGGAGTCATTACAAGATCTAGAGAAATCATCTCAAACTCTTGCTTTGTGTCTAAAATTGAACCAAGAAATGTCAAGGAAGCTTTAATTGATGATTACTGGATTGGAGCAATGCAAGATGAACTGAACCAATTCAAGCAACATGAAGTTTGGGAGCTAGTTCCTAGACCTGAAGGAACAAACATCATTGGCACAAAATGGATTTTCAAGAACAAATCAGATGCTGAAGGAGTTGTCACCAGAAATAAGGCAAGACTTGTTGCTCAAGGATACACTCAAGTTGAAGGGGTTGATTTTGATGAAACCTTTGCTCCTGTAGCCAGGCTGGAATCAATCAGACTCCTACTGGCAATTGCTTGTCTCCTGAAGTTCAAGTTATTTCAGATGGATGTGAAAAGTGCCTTCCTAAATGGGTACTTGAATGAGGAAGCTTATGTGGAACAGCCTAAAGGCTTTGTGGATCCAAACCACCCTGATCATGTCTACAAATTGAGGAAAGCTCTATATGGCCTGAAACAAGCTCCTAGAGCATGGTATGACAGGTTAACAAAATTTCTCTCAGACAAAGGATAAAGAAAAGGAGGCTTGGATAAAACCCTCTTTGTCAAAACTGAAGGAGGGAAGTTAATGGTAGCTCAAATATATGTTGATGACATAGTGTTTGGGGGAATGTCAGAACAAATGGTTAAACATTTTGCTGACCAGATGCAGGCTGAATTCGAAATGAGTCTCATGGGAGAACTAACTTATTTTCTTGAAATGCAAGTCTCACAGATGGAGGACTCAATCTTTCTATCTCAAAGCAAGTATGCAAAGAACATTGTAAAGAAGTTTGGTATGGAGAATGCCAGTCACAAAAGGACTCCTGCACCTACTCACTTAAAGCTATCCAAAGATTCAAGTGGGGTTAAGGTGGACCAAAGTCTGTACAAAAGCATGATAGGAAGTTTGCTGTACTTAACTGCCAGCAGACCTGACATTGCTTTTGCAGTTGGAGTTTGTGCAAGATACCAAGCTGATCCTAAAGTCAGTCATATCAACCAGGTGAAGAGAATCTTGAAGTATGTGAGTGGAACTTACAACTATGGCTTGTTATATTCTCATGGCTGTGAACCAACTCTGACTGGTTATTGTGATGCTGATTGGGCTGGAAGTGCTGATGATAGAAAAAGCACCTCTGGTGGATGTTTCTTCTTAGGAAACAATCTGGTTTCCTGGTTCAGCAAGAAACAGAACTGTGTATCTCTCTCTACTGCTGAAGCTGAATACATTGCAGCTGGTAATAGTTGTTCTCAAATGATCTGGATGAAACAGATGCTTACTGAGTATAATGTCACACAAGATGTTATGACATTGTACTATGACAATCTGAGTACAATCAACATTTCCAAAAATCCTATTCAGCATAGTAGGACCAAACATATTGACATAAGACATCACTTTATCAGAGACCTTGTAAAAGAGAAGACGATTAAACTGGAACATGTTGCCACTGAGCTACAGCTGGCTGACATTTTTACAAAGGCACTTGATGCAAATCAATTTGAAAACTTGAGGGGCAAGTTGGGTATTTGCCAACATGAGGAATTATAGAAATTAATTTTGCTTAAAACAAGGGTTGAAGGAGTTATTTTTGCTAAGTCTATTTTGATTGGGTTAAACATATGCTTTCCCATTTCCTTCAAAATATTTAAGAATTTGAATAGTCACTTATTTACCTCCTTCCCCTCTCGCCTCCGCATCAAAACCCAGTCTCACAATCAAAATTTTCTCTCTAGTTGCTATTGGTCTTCTAATACTATCAAAATGTCTCAAACATCATCATCATCCAATACGACTATTTCATCCTCTTCCTCTGATCAAGATTCTAGGGCAATCTCATCTTGCCTGGATTCTGAAGTCCTGAAGATTGCTCCTCTTAGAGAAATGGAAACTAACCCCACCAAGGTCAAAGAGCTGAGAACAAGGCATGCAGGAAGGTCCCAAGCTACTGCTTCTGGTAATCCCTCTCATCCTTCTTCTTCTGTTCCCTCTGAAATTGCAAATAGGGAAGGGTCAGCCTATGTACGTCAAGCAATAGCTAAACTTGTTACAAGAATTCTGAATGAGAACCACTTAGTTCCTGGCATTTTCGTTCCTTTAAATCAAGAAAGTTCAAATGCTGAAACAAATCCAGATGTCTCTAAGGATGTTGAGACACCAGACAAAGATAAGGATGCTGAAGCCCCAGTTGTTGACATGGACAAAGAGAAGAATGCTGATATTGCTCACAAGAAAAGGAAGAAGCCCGAAACTTCTGAGTCTGATGACAATGCTTAAAGTTCAGTGGAGATGGAAAACTGGCTGCTAGTCCCAGTTGATGCAAGTGTTTTGTTTGTTTTTCTTTTGCTGTCTTTGTTTGGGATGACTGTACAACTTTTAAGTACATGTATCTTTGGCCCATTTGTGGCTAAAGAGGGGGAGATATTCTGTGGTTAATTACTTGATAAACACTATATTTTTCTGCAGTCACATTTATTCTGCTGCTATCTATTCTTTGATTGCTTAGGGGCTTTAGCCAAAAATCTGCCAAAGAGGGAGTTTGTAGGTGTTTAGTTATTGGCATGCATTTTTGGTAAAACCAGGTGTGTGAATGTCATGACTAATATCATAACATTCTGATTTATTAGGTACTGGTTTATTAGGTACCTTTGCAGAAAAATAGTGGCATACAAATACTGCTGTTTATGAGTGTGTATCTGAGCATTTTGCAAAAAGATCACATTTATTGTCTTCTCAGTAAACAGGAATTCTGATGTCATAACAAATGTTAAGACATCCTGTACTGATCTAACAATAGTGCAGTTTGGTTAATTCTGAGATTTTTCAGGAAGTTGGCTCATTCCTTCCAGAACAGAATCTCCCGTTGTCTTTGGGTTAACCTAGCTCAACCCTAAACTGGTTGACAAAGTCTTGTGACCAAGTCTTATGGTTAAACCTAATTAACCCTAACTTTTTGTGGAAACCCTAACTGAAGAAACATCTGCTATATATTCAACAGGTCTGCTGTTTGGAAAACAACTCTTTGGACTGAAGATCAATCAGAAACTGTATAGTTTTAACTGCTGTAATCCAAGCAATTATCATTGTGATAAGTGACTTGGAATAGGTTTTATTTGTAAGGGTTTTTGTACCACTCAAAACTTTGAAGCAAGAGTGTTTTGTGTCTCTTGACTAAAGCTTTGAAGCAAAGTCAAGTTAGGTTTATGTATCACTCAAAGCTGTGAAGCAAGAGTGTTTGTGTTACTTGATTAAAAAGCTGTGAAGCATAATCAAGTGTATGTTTTGAAGAGTGTCTTCATTAATTCATTAGTCAATTGTTTTAAGTATCACTGTTGTGATTGAGGGGGAGTGAGTAGGAACTCAAGTTTAAGTAGAACTTAGATTGAAGTTGCATTGGGTAGGTCTTAAGTGAAGGAGATAAACTGGTTGGTTTATTCCTGAATTAATATCTCTTATAGTGGATTTCCTCCCTGGCTTGGTAGCCCCCAGAGTAGGTGTTGTTTCACACTGAACTGGGTAAACAATTGACTGTGTTCTTTACTGTTTTTGTATTTACTGTCTTATAGAAAGTCAGATACGATGTCACAACATTGACTGTGACATTGAGTATCTACAGCCAGAATTTCATATATATTTCTTTTTTATGTATTATACTTTGATTAATATGCAATCAAGTGCACCAGTATCATGAAGATCTTACGAGGTTACATTACAAGTTACAAGGTTAGTTCATCAAGATGAACCTAAGAAAATAAGAGGTGTGGATTTACATTATAGTTCTAGCCAAAGATACATATATTGTTTCCTTAATGGTTTATTTTACTATGGATCAAGGTCCTCGACGCTTACGGAAGCAAAGACAACCATGTTGCTGATCAATAGTGATCATACCTCCACCTTTGGATGTGTCAATAGCCTCCAGCATGGCAACTACCTCATCCATTTCAGGCCGCTTATCGGGATTTGCATCCCAGCATCTTTTCATTACATTTGCTAAAGAACTTGGACAGCATCTTGGTATTTCGGGTCTAACATTCTGAAAGTTCAATACAAATTAGTATATTAATACCATGGATTCATTTTAGATACCAATTTACAGTTACAAACTTGGAATGCTGAAATGAGAGACGATCAAAATCGAAAGAATATATACCTGGCGAACAACGGCTGATGTAATCTCAGAGAAACTTAGGTCAGGATATGGCATGTCACAACAATATATTTCCCATAAACAGATGCCAAAACTATATACATCACATTTCCTGTTATAAGGGTTTCCGTTTAAAACCTGTAAAGCAAAATCATCCATTTGTCAAATAAGTCACAATTAAATTACTCAGCTTTCTAAGAAAACTGGCCACACACCTCAGGAGCCATGTAACCAAGTGTTCCAGTCTCCCCGGTCATGTCACTAGGATTCAATGCTTCAATACGTGCAACTCCAAAATCACCAATTTTAACTGTCCGTGTCTTATCCAACAGCATGTTCTCTGTCTTTACATCTCTGTGGACAATCTTCTGGGAGTGAAGATAATTCAGCCTACAAATCAAAGTAAACATATTACAAGTCCGTCTTTGTTCTCTTTGTTCTCGACGAGTACTAACACACTATTACATAGAGCAGAAATTTACAAAAAAAAAAGATAAATACCCTCTAGCCATATCAAGTGCTAGCTGGACGACGATCTTAAAAGCTAATTTCCTCCTCCTATTCTTTATTAAGAAAGATTTAAGTGCACCTCCGGGAAGATACTCTACAACCACACAACAGATATTGCTAGGCATGCTAATCACACCATTGTCACTTTGTATCTGCAATTCAGATGACCCCATTGTTGCCCCTATAAACTAAACACGGAGAAAGAAAAATGTTAACCTTGCCATTATAGACGGTCGAATAACCATTTCCTGAAAGCAAAACTATCACTTGATAATCCAAACAAGAACAATATAGTAAAAGTAGCAAGAGAGTTGAAGGTAGATAAAGGAAATGTACCTTTGTGACATTAGGATGATCCAGTTTATGCCAAACAACAACTTCCTGCGTGAAGGCAGACCTGAGTGCAGCAATTTCAGCTTCTGTCCTGAGTCCTTCTTCACCCCAGTCCAGTATTTTAACTGGACATCAAGTAAATAAGCACAAAATGGTTCTCAGAAAAATGAATGCAAAAGAGCAAGCAGCAAACTCAGTTTAGTGTCACATTACATGCACAGAAAAACCATTTCAGATTCACAGAATCCTCACAACTCCAATATTGTTTCATGCATCATTCTTGGTCTGTGATTCTCTGTCCATTAAAAAATTTTCCCTTCCATAACCAGGCTAACAAACAACATGTTGTTTGGATTGATTTATTGAAACTTATCTACTAGCACAACTATTTGTTGTGAGACTGTTTGAGAGCGCTTATGTCCAAAAATTGGTTTAAGCTAATTTGCACAAGCTCTCTAAAATAGCTTTCGTATGACTGTCATAAACGTTCAACTTCAACACAAGGCCTCTACCACACAAAACCCGAGCATAAGTGCGCCCGTACAACAAGACACCTACGGTACGATTTTACTTAGTCAAGCAGAGCTGAAGCAAGGTTACAATGAAGATCGACGTATAGCCCCCTTCTCTATATGTAGAGGTTCAACTCGAAACCTTAGATCATCAATACTCAGCAAAAACAACAATAATAAAAGTTTATGATGTAAACTCTTAATTAAGTTATTTATCTAAACAGTAACAGACTTTGATATAAACATTCCAATCATCTAAGAAAGAACTAAAGAAGTAAAGAACCACAAAATGCATAGAAATTTCCAATGAGTCTTATTTACTTGAAGTGAACTGATAAGACAACTTCAATGAAAAGTGAAAGAATGTGTAAGTAAGTGGAAGTTACCAGCAACATCTTGAGCATCATAGACACCACGGTGAACAGTACCAAAAGTGCCACGAGCTATGACACTCTTGATGATGAGGTTAGAAGGATCAATTTCCCACTCTTGTCTTTGATTCTCATTGAAGACAGCAGCATCACCACCAGAGTTTGAGTCATCATTCTGAGCTACAGGCAATGCTTTGTTGAGGTGTCTCTCAAGTTGTTCATCTATGTTCTTGAGATCAATTTGATCAGCTCTCATAAACCCATCATTCTTTTCCTTCATCTTTTTGTCTCTCTTCACTCTATCTTTGGCGTGTGTGTATATGTGAGTGTGATTAATGGTGCAGCGTTAAAACCGGTAACAATGAAGGTAAGGTGGTGGCTGTCTGAGGTGTCGTTTTCTATGATGTCGGAACACCGCCACGCCCCCCTCCAATAATCCATGTCGGCACATGGAGTTGTACCTGAGCACACATGCATTGTTTTATGAGTAAAATTCAGGAAAAAAAAAATGAAAATGCTCTCATTGAGAGTTGAACTCAAGACCTCCCGCTTACTAAACGGGTGCTCTAACCAACTGAGCTATGAGAGCTTTGATGAACATTCGATTGTTAAATTGGTTAAATTCAAACTCTTTTTTTATGTAAGTTATAGCCAAAACTTGTGCGTCTTCTTATTCTCCAAGGAGCATAGAGGTTTTGTTCATCTTCAATTTGCTGTGGTGCTACCTCGTGCTAAAATGTCCAATTTCTTTGTTTATCTTCTGGAATATTTTAGGGGAAGAATAGAACAAATTAATACCCAATGAAGAGTTAAAATAATATATTTGTTTTTATTTATTTTTAGAAACTAATCTTAATATTTGTTTTCCATATAACTCACATGTATAAAAAATACTAGTCAAGTAAGTTTTTTAGTTATAATGAATTAGTTTATATAAATTATTTTGTATAAGATGAATCATTTAAGTCTTAAACATGCATTGTTAGCTTGTTTTTAATATTTAAGTCATAAAAACACAGTTATTCTTTATTAGTTCGCAACAAAGTATTGTTACATCTATTTATCTCATTTATGAGACATTTTATCTTAGTATTTATCTCAGAGACATTTTATTTTGGTGGCGTTTAGTCTGGATAATGGACTTTTTGTCCACCATAAGAAGATTACACTTTTACCTATAACAGCAAGTTAGGATCTGCTAAAAATATTTTATTGTTTTTGTTTTAGTTGACCGGAAACCGTTAAATTAATAATATTTTGTCTTAATCACATCATTCACACATTTCAAATTAACTTCTCTCTACCTAGAAACATTTTCTCATCGTGACTCCACTTATTTTTCTTTTGATAGATAAAAAATACAAAACATGAGTACAGTCAAAGTATGCTCTGCATCATATACAAGTTGGTGTTGGTGTTTGGGACCAAGTTACTGGTAAACAAGATGATATGTTTTTAGCCTTTAGGTTGGTCACTTGGTGATGCTGATAAACTTCAATAGTTAGAACTTAGAAGGTAGTAATTGTTTGTTAGTGGCTACAATGTTTCCTAGAAAAGATAACTCTTATATTAGTATTTTGGATTTCAGAGAGAAGAAAATGGTTTGGGTTTTGATATATTGGAGACTCATACACCACTAATTCTATGATTTAATTGTGTTTTTTTCTCTTACTTTAAGGTTAATTTTCCCCTTAGTTTGTCATAACCAAATTGTTTCTGCAGTTTTATAGATATTGTTGAGTCTAAAGCATTGTATATACTAGATTGTATATAGATGTCTAACCTGCTAAACCAACCAACCAAAATTCTGCAGAACTTACATAATACTATAAGAACAACCAAAATAATTACCATGTTCTAATATATACATATTTTACATGCATTCAATCACTTTGATGATGATCAGAGAGTAATATTAAATATTATATATTTTGTTCTTGTTTAATATGTTGTGCCTTCTTCGTTTGAATTCGATGGAAAACGAGTAATATTTGTGTGGCAAATTTTAATATTATACCTTGTATTCATAGAAATTAAATGGAATCATAGTTTGCTAACTTATCTCTTGAATAGTGTTTTAAAAAATATAATGCGAAAATGTTATCAACATATATTGGTATCTATAACGTCATCACTGTTTTTATGCTAAAAAAACACATTACAAATTAATTCATACTGCGACAATAACAATCATTATTACGATATCTATATCCACTAAAATTACGAAAAACTTTAACCGAGTTCCAGAATCACAATCATTTTTTAAAACCCTGCACCTGAATAAAGTAAACAAATACCCAACCTGATTTTTAGTGTCACTAGATTTTCTCATTCAGATGATCGAGAACCATTAACTCAATTAGTTTTATATATAATTTGAAAACCAACTAATTACAATTTATGGTACGCTTTCAACTAAATAATTAAAATTAAATGATTTACACATCATATAATTGAAAACAAAGCATGGAAATATAATCAACAATACCGGTTAGTTAAAATATAAATAACACAGCTAGTTAAAATATAAAGAACTTTTAGGATCTGTATAGTTAGGGATAAATGGAAGGGAGAGAGGGGAAGGCATGAGAAGGAATATTTAATACTGATTGATTCAAATTTTAAGAGAAGAGAGAAGAGCTAGATGGTGGGGACTAAAATTTTTCATGGATAACTTTTTCTTCCCCTCAATTTGGAGATATTTAAAGGGGGAGAGAATGTATTTCATTTTAATATTAATTATATTTACATATTTATTCTTATTTATTTATTTAAATTATATTTAACTTATTAAAATATTAAAAGTTTTATATTAAATAAGTTTTATTTTTCTTTTGTATTTATTGTATTTTTATATATTCATCACATTATTATTATAGATGTTTAAATTTTTTATTTTATTTATTTTATTGTCACTTGTTAATTTTTGTAATATTTTTGTTTATGTTAATTTTTGTTAGATTTTGTTGTATTCAATAATATTTTTAAAGTTATATGTTATAATCGTTACATTTTTATAAAATATTTTATGATGTTCTACAATTAAATATTTTTTATTAATGAATTTGTATTTGAATTATGAACGATAAATATTCCGAGTCTTATGATAAAATTACAAAGATATAAAAGTAAATAAATTTTAAAATACCTCCTCTCTCCTTATGAATCAAACATATTTATAAATAAAATTTCTCTCCTCCTCTTCCTTTTTATATTTTGAACCAAATATATATGTAACTAAAATTTCTCCTCTCCCTTTGATAGAAATCCCTCTCTCCACTCCTCTCGATTGAACCAAACAGATTTTTATATAGTTTTTTAGATTTGGAAAAATCTAGATGTGAAAATATAGTTTTTTTTTTTTTAAATTTGAATCTTTAATTTAAGATTCATGTATTTTTTTTCTCCAGATTTATTAAAGTTGTATATATAGTTATTGTTTGTTTAAATTATTGAGATAAAAATGATAATGGAAGATGAAGATAATAGATATATAGATTTGAATTTTTAAGAATGATGAAAGATGAAGATAATGGATGAATATAAGTTTTTAAGGATGATGGAAGACAAAAATGATGGAAGATGAAAATGATGGATGAAGATAGACGAAGATGATGGAAGATGAAGATGTGGGTGATGGAAGATGATAAAGACGAAGAACATGATAGAAGAAGAAGATGAAGTTGATTGAAGACTAGAAAAATGAAGTATCAAAAAAATTATTTAAATATTAATAAAATTGATTGAGTATTTTTACAAAATTAATTGGAACAAAAAGTGGGTGACAGGTAACCGATCATTCATCTTAGTCGTCCAAATTAAATAATAATATATTAATAGTTAAAAACATCATTTCTCTATGGTGGATAAAAAGAGACTCGTCCATGCTAAATACCATCTTTTATCTTGGTGGCATTTAGCATGGACGAGTTTCTATGGAGAAATGAGGTTTTTAGCCATTATATATTATTATTTATATTCAACGGTTGAGATCTTTGACCTGTAATTTGTTGGTGACTTCTTTTGTGGATTTCATTTCAAATATTTAAAATAATAAAATATTATATTTAATATATTTTTTTGTTGGACTTTTACATAATATATTGAGCCTTTTATATTAATTCATTGCATTGGTTTGATTTTTGTAATTTAAGTGGCCCAATAAGAAACTTGAACCTCCATTTGTGTAGTTAAGTTTTTATTTCAGAAAATTGAGATTAATTTCTCTATTCCAATTTTTGAACTCTACGAACAAATATTTTGTTGTTTGCAGAAACTTGAACTTCTTCAACTTCTTCTTTTATGGTTGAACAAAAATTCGAAATCAATACTTCTAAGATTCTATTTTATTAATCTTCTTACAAATTCGTCATTGTTACCGAGATTAAAGGTGTTGAACCTTAGAAGTATGGATTTCAGATAAATAACTTCATCCATCTTCATCGTTGTTACCGATAAACAACTTCATCATGTAACTCTGTTTTCCTCAATCAATTTCATCATGATTTTTTTTCTTCTGTTTTCATTCAAATTTATATTGTGATCAGATATATAGTTATATGTTATAGTAACAATGTCATTGATTGTTTGTTTGAAAACTCACTGATTTGTGTTTGATTAATGTAAATTTCTTTCATCAGAATAATTTATGTAATAACATGTTGGTTTCAAGCTTTCATTCAACTAAAGTTAGAGGAAATATTGTAACTTCTATTGCTGTATAAGTTACTGACCTTTAACCCATAGAAAAGTAGTATTGTTGTGTTAAAATTTTAATTAAAAAATAAAATTATAAATGGAACGACTTGCATGTTTTTGCTCTACTACTTTTGGTTCAACAACAATTCCAACCAATATACTGTACTGGTTAATGTTTGTTGTGATTTGACTTATCAATGCTAATTTGATTTGGTGTGATAATGACATGTACTACTAGTTTCTCTATTGACAAATGAATTGATTTTGTATGATTACACAAAATCCAAGTTGTGTAAAATAATTGTATATTACTAGAATGGGGTTCATTTATCCAGTTTAAATTTAATGTATCAAATCGAATGTGATATAGAAAATCACCTAGGAAAATCGTTGTGGAAGCCTCTAAACAAGAAATAGAGGAAATACTGAAAATCATTAAGAAGAGCGACTACAATGTGGTTGAGCAGCTGGGGCAGATCCCGTCAAAGATATCCATGTTGTCTTTGTTGTTGTATTCTGAAGCCCATGCGGAGGCTTTAATTGCATTTCTCAAGACTGCGCATGTGCCGCAGGAAACTTCAG